TGGTTACCTGAACATTGCATGGTCTCACCTTGGAGTTAACTTGTTGTAACTTCCAGCAATCTACCAAAACTTGAGCTTTAGTAGAGGTGCTCACACTTGCTGATAAACAGTTAATGAAGTGCATTTGATTAGCAGCACTTGGCTGCTACTCCCCCTCTTAATTCCTATGGAAGCCGTAAAGTTGGGCCAGCTATCAATAATGGATTTAGCCTACAGCCATGTGGTTTAAAGCCAGCCGATGTCCCTGGCAATGGATGTGCCTGATGGAAAACCTGGACAGCACCTTATTTGTTTCATAAAGGTGCTCGGAACATAATTCAGACACATACAATTGTGTGTAAAAATGGCTGTACTTTCTGAACAGGTAAATGCAATGAATCAAAACCAGAACTGTGCACTTGAATCATATCTTGATTGTTTGATTTAAAACCCACTGTGGTAGTGTACAGAGGCAAAATTAAACAAGATTAGCTCAGTATGGACCTGACGAAGGATGCGTTGTAGGCGTGTGTTCACTAGATAAAAGTCCTCTTGCACTGCAGAAGGAACAAAACTTAATTGAATTTAATTTGTTTGTAGCCTTTCTTCATCTGTATCCATAGATTTAATTGTATGTAGTTAAAAAATAATTTGATGTATGCAAAATATTTCTGTGAGCCGACCAGACAATCTGCCACTTTTTGTTTGCTTTAAAGTCAACTTCTCCAAGAAAAAGAGCCAGCTGAGGTTATTTTGTTGTGTTTCTAAAAACTTTGTTGATTTACCCCCACCCTCTCAAACTGTGTCTTGTGCTTGCCAAAACGTAATAAAATGATGAGATTTAGTGAAATGCACTTTAAGGCTTCTTCAGCCACACAGTAGCGCTTTGTTTTGTGTGCACTAAAGGCCAGAGTTCAATTTCATCTTGATAAAAATCTAATTCATACATGTTACTAGAGGATATACAGTTTGCTCCTGTAACCACAGTAATCTTGCCGTAGCCGCTTCCTTTTTTTTTTTTTTTTACTGCTCCTGCTGTTAAACGCTCCTTGGCATGGGCTCATTTTTAACAGTTGGTGTGCGGCTTGGATCTGGCTCATGTTTGTCTTTAAGAAAGGTCGTATGCCAAAAACCCTGGATGGTAAATCCAGAAATGAGGTAATATTTGTGCCCTGAAATGCACGTTTTCTTTTCCTTCTGTAACCTCGTCGGTGAGAGCAGCGCTCTTAAATCTGTTAAATCCAGCAGAAACTCAAAAGAGAAACCTTTTCTTTCTTTTACGTGAGCTTAGCGAAACACTCGGAGTGACACGAGTGCACTCCTGATATATTATCGTCGCGTCTGAGTGGATCCTGCAGGCCTCGGGGTCTTGAAACTTGCTGCAGCTCATCAGGCGCCTTGTAAGCCTTCAGTTCAAGTGAAAACATGAACATCGCGAAGGGAAAAAAAGCTCCTTCTTTTTTTTTCTTCTTCTTCTTTTCTTACTGACAGCAGAGGCATGCAGCTAAAGTCGAGGTTTTACAGCAGCGTATCTGGTTTCATCAAACGCCATCAGTCATGTGCTACTCTTTCTCCTCTACCTTTTATCCTTTGGAAATGTGACTCCTGCACTGCATGCTTCTTTTTAACCTTCTTCCCCACCCTCGTCCTCCTCCACCTCCCTCTCACGCGTGCTCTCTCTCTCCAGGTCTTGCTATCCTTGCTCGCCCTCTGTCCTTCTCTGTGAAGTCACATGTGAAAGTGATCAGCTTAATCCCGATCACCAGCTGTGTTTAACCTACTTTAGATTTGGAACACTTGGCTTTACTCGCTTTCACTTTTGTTTGTGTGGGATTAGCATGACCGCACAGCACACGCATGCGGTCTGACCCGCCGCCTTTGGCTCTTAAATGTTTTTATTAAATCCATAATTAAACCCTTGCCCAATTTCTTTGTGTGCCTTGCTCAGCGGTTAATCTTCCAGGTTTTGTTTTGTTTTTTCCAACCACCGCCAGCGCACACATTTCATCTGCTGTTTGTCGGATTTAAACTGGCAACCCTCCAGTTACAAACCCGCTTCTGTAAACTTGAGCAAATGCAACTCCTCGGGGGGGTTAATTGAATTTAAAATGAATGTATCCGAACCCTGCTCGGTATGCCGTGTCCACACGGTCATATGGAGGCTAAACTTAAATGTGCAGCTCTCCTGAAGCGGACTTTACCTCATTAGAAACAACAGAAATTTAAAAGTAAATAAAGCACCGAGGCACCTCTTTGTGGAAGAAGTCTATAAATGTAAGTTGTAAGATTTAAGATGTGGAGACGTTGGCAATTCTGCTGGCCTAAGCTGCTCAGGCACGCTGTCACTGTGAGCCAAACAGCCCGGTCACCTTCAATGTAAGCCCGGTGCTATTTTAATGCTCTGCACAATAAATAAATAAATAAAAAGAATAAAGAATAACACCCGCGTCTCTGTCTCTCTGCAGGATCCCGGACCCTCACCCCCGTCCCCAATTCTGGGACACAAACCTCTGCAGCTGATTGAGGTGAAAGCCAGGGGGCGCTTCGGCTGTGTGTGGAAGGCGCAACTGCTGAACGAATACATGGCTGTTAAGATCTTTCCCATCCAGGTACACGTGCTGATGTTTCTTCTTTTTGGTTTTTTACTACAACTGTTACATTAGCCTGACAACTCTTACACCCCCACAAAGTAAAGCACTAAAGGAAAAATGTTCACTGTCTTATCAAATAAAGGCAAAACTAAATTTTAAAAAAAGCAACAACTATAAGAAGTAAAGGAGGTTATTCAAAAACACACACATTGTGAGTATTAATCATTTATCAAATGCCTGTCCACATATCTTCACTAATGACTGTAGCCTGTCACTGCTGCCTTCATATGTCATGTTTGATATATGACAGTTTATTCAATTCAGTTTTATTCATATAGTACCAAATCACAGCAACAGTCAAACAAAATAAGGCCCTTCATATTGTAAGGTAAAAAACCTACAATAACAGAGATAAAACACCAACAATCAGACGAACCCGCTGTGATGAAGCACTTGGCGATAGTGGGAAAGAAAAACTCCTTTTTAACAGGAAGGACAGAGCCAGAGGGAGGGGCAGCCACCTTTTAGTTGCTTTTTTCAGAATAGAAATAAATACATAAGATTGAAGTGAAATAAATACTGTAGAAAGGGATTTATCGTAATTTAAGGTCTTAAAACAGTGGTGCCCAACATTTTTAATATCAAAGACATGCTGCTGTAGTTAATGAAATAAATATTTCAGCACATCTCTTAAATTGTAAGAAATAAATTGTTTCATTTGCACCGGTTTTAAGAAAAGACATTTCTGTTGCAGATAGTCGACAAAACAGGAACAGGATCCATTTAATTTTTGAATGTATGTTTAAGTCCAGAAATTACACTTTCACATTTTCCAATACTGTCCAATTCTACTCTTTACCAGAGTGATTCTGGTCTTATATTTGACACTTATGGACATGTCTTTTCATGTCATTTAAACAATGACGGGCAGTGCGTGATTAAAATATTCACCTCACCTATTTTCTCTGATGGACTAAACTAATCAAAGCAGCTAAAACCTTTTTTGTTTGTTTTTTAACAATGCTGGAAATCTTTTAGAGCCAGCCTCTAGTGGCTGTTAGAGGAACTGCAGATTCCTTTAACTAATAAAAACTAAACTAAAACAAGCAAATCCACTCTGGGAAGTAGCTGAAACTAAAATGAAATCAAAAGGAAATACAAAGGAATAGAAACTGTACCAACTCTGGCTGTATGTGTTTTAATTTTCTGGGTAAAATCTAGTTTGGTTACAGGAAAATTCTTCTGATAAAAATTTAAAGATTTTTTTAATTGGGCTAGTGTATTCATTATTTTCTCTTCATGCTGGAAGCAGGGAATAAATGAAAAACAGCTAATTAAACTTGTAGCCAACAAGTCTGACAGCTTTTCTAGTGGAAACTTTATAACTCGTCCCCTTTTTTGTTATTTCTGACCTTTTGATAAGCAAAAATGTGTTTTATATTTGAGAAATATTATTGTGATTATTTGGGTGCCGAGTCTCTCTGTTATGAGATGAATTAGAGGTTCTCGGCTGTTTTGATAATGAGTAATAATAAAGCAGCATGTAAAACAAAGAATAGACTAAAATCAGTCTGCATCTCCCAAACTTTCTAACACTAGTCGTGACCTGGCTTGTACGTGTTTTTGTCGATTGGGTGGCACGGCGGCATGAATAACATCTGCATCTCTGCCTCTGTGCTCGTGTCTAGGACAAGCTGTCTTGGCAGAACGAGTACGAGATCTACAGCGTGAGCGGCATGAAGCACGAAAACATCCTCCACTTTATCGGCGTGGAGAAGAGGAACAACAACCTGGACCTGGAGCTGTGGCTCATCACCGCCTACCACGACAAGGTACGCCGAGAGGGCTGCAGAGATGCATATTCTTTTCTTTACTGAGTCATTTTCAATCTGAGTGCACTAAAGCAGAGTACACTATAGGAGACCGGACTGTATTTCTAAAGCATTTATTCCTCTATATGTTGTATATTTTCTCATTGCTTCATCAAACCTCGCACTTTGGGGACGTCTCACACCTCCAGGCTCGATGACCTAAGCTTCATGCTGACCCTTTAGTCTGCTTTGTATGCCAGGCTTTTGTATACTACACTGTGGATCTATTTCAAACCAGTTTCAGGATGTTTTTACATTGATACGTCATTTAGGTCTAAAAATTGCTTTATGAGTTCAGCTTGATTTAAGACCATCAGATAAAGAGGAGCGAATAAGACAAACAAAAGAAAAACAAAAACGTTTAATTTTGCTTTTTCTGGGGTATCTTAAGTGCAATCACTGCTTTAGTTCATTAAAATAAACAGGCTGTTGCTTATGTTAAGTAGCAGGCGTGCTCACGGGGGCAGCCTTTGGGTTTAAAGACTGCAGTTTCTCTAGTGGCCAGTAGAGGGTGACTACATAAGTGAGTCAGTACCCATAGATTGCTATGTTAAAATGTCAAAATTTATAGCTGATATAAGCACGTTGGCGACCTGCTAGACAAAGCAGTTTTTGTCTCTATAGCCAGTTGTCCTAAATTAAAAAAGAAGGTGACTGTTTTTATAAGTCATCTATTTATATTTTAAAAAGTCTTTTTAAGTTTGCATTAGTCAGTTGTAATTATTTTATTTACAGAGCTTCTTGATCCCTCTGTGATGTTTTTGGCTCTATCTTAGTTTAACTGTTAAAATTCTTATCACATTTTATTGTTTTGCTTTTGCTTTGTGGAGCAAACGAACCCACATTTTTGAGTTAAGTCATAATTTCAAGTTTTTTTGAACCTTTATTTTGAGTTAAGTTGAACTTTTGAGATATTCAAAATTGGAGTTGCATCTAAATTTTGATCAGTTTTTTAGTTACTGCATTGAATTTCAATGTGCTAACCCACAATCTTAAGTTGTCAAGTTGTAATTCTGAGATAAATAACCCAAATATATAGTTCAACTTTTGAGATGCTAACCCAAATTTTTGAGTTACAAAAACTTTTTATGTAACTATAAATATATGATAAATTTTCTTCAGTGGCAGAAATGCGCTTCCATAAAGTATAGTTACTTCTGTCTTGAAAAAACAAACACAAAGGTTTAAAACACTAGTGTTCGTTACTGATGTCATTGTGGCCGTCTCCATCCTTTATATACAGTCTGTGGTATGATCCCTAATTTTTTCTTGTTGCTACCCAAGTAACATGTTGAGCTGATGGTCTGGATGTCTATACGACCTTATTTTAGTGCCATTTTGAACTGTGTCAACAAGTCCTGATAAGAGTCCATGTTTACTGAGCATTTATCCATATGTATCCATATCCTGTTCTGTTTTTTTTGTTCTCAAATTTATGATATACACCTGCATTTAAACCTGGCACAGCCACTCAAACCTTTAAAAAAAATAGCTGTAAGATCAATTGATCAAAGCCGGTATACAGCTCAGTAAAACAGTTAAAACTCAATAAACTTGGGCTCAAGTTTCCACAGCTGAAGAAAAGGTTAGAAACCGTTGCAAGTCTTGTTTAAAAAACATCCAACTGGAGCGCTTCAGGTCTGTTTTCCAGTCACAGTGTACTACAGCACATGTAAAACAATTCTCTGATTTCCTGCCTGATTTCTCCCACTAACTGGGTTGTTTGTGTCCATGTAAGCTCAGCATATTGCTGAGCTTAGTGTATGTTATTGAGTTGTTTGCTGGGGTTTTTTTGTGGGGGGCAGTTGCACACAGATCTAAAAAGCTCCAGGGCGACCATCTAACAAAGTTGTAAACACTGGTAAAGAGGGGGAAACATGCATGAAACCTTTACTTTTTTTCGATTCTGTTTGGTGCCTTAAGATCGAATCTATAGTTACAATACGCCTCATGTTGCCTTTTTTTTCTTTTCTTTTTTTCTTTTTTTTGTGCCGAGAAAGTGGGTTTGAGCTGTGTTAGCCCCCTTTTGTGCTCCACTCACCCTCCGTGCTGCAGGCTTTGTAGCATTCGGGGCTCTAAGTGCCTCTGTGTTTTGAGAGTCATTACCAACCTAGTGGAGAGTGATTCTTGTACGCTTGGCTTGCCCAAAATTTCCCAGCCAGACCGAGGATTTGAATCGGCGTTCCTAAGGAGCCTTCATCGCGTGAATAAAGGTTGAAAAATTAAAAGCTTGTGGGTGTGGCGGTGAGGCTTTAACACTCACAATACAACTCTTGGAAAGGCACTCAGCTCTGGAGTGGAGTGAAGCTCTCCTAGAGGGAATAACTCTGGAGCTTTAAAGGAGGAAACTGTAATTATTCTGCAAGCATAAGTCTTTAAGCTTTGACCTAAAAAGAGCAGGTGTCGAAGTGTTGGCGTCTGTCGCAGCTGATTTATGTTTGATGCATCTGAGCAGCTTTATGGTGTGGAGCCGTGCACATGCAGCAGCTTGCCGAAGAAAAAAAATCCCTGTAATTTATATCTTTTCATATATTTCCACCGCAAGGATATTAAAAGCTGTCACGCAGAATATGCACGCACACACACACACACACACACACACACTGTGGAAAGCTTTCATCTGAAGCTCAGCTGATGATGTGTTGGAGTTGCATGCCCTCTAGTGGTCACTCAACACAACTACATTTGCCTTTGGCCTCCACTGGTGACCTTGTGTTGTGTTGACATTCAAAATTCAAGACCTTTATTGTCATTGTGCATTACAGATGACATTAAAAGAAAAACACTAACAGGAGTACAGATTAACAAATATATTTTATACTTTTTATTCTACATTATTAACTCTCATTATGATAAAAAATGGTCAATAATGGTGTGAGGGAAACAGCAGCAGCACAGAAATATGAGTAAATATAAAATATGAGCATTAACAGGACAGAAGACAAATTAGTAAATTAGATGTAAGCATGAATTTTCCCTTGTAATGCTCAAATCTGCAGATCTACAGTTGCATTTCTACTTTTTTGCTCTAATATTTAACAGTAAGGCACATGCTGCTCTTCATGAGTAGACAAAGGATACGTGATCACATGGAGGAGGTCATTGAATCAGCGTTATCAGAGCTCCGTTATTCAGAGATGACAATAAGCATCCAGGAAATTGGCTCGGGGACAGAGAAGACTGGCGGACTTCGCTGTGGTTTTAAGAGGACGCCTTGTAGGTCGTAAATGTCATTTATTGCCCTCTAGGGGATTTATTGAGCTCCAGAAGTTCTTTCTTCTTCGATAATCATCTAAAAAATGTCAATATTGAAACTATTACATCCAGCATAATTGTTTTATCTTGTGGAGTCAGCTGCAAAATAAAAAAATAGAAAAGCTTTGGGGAATTTCCATCCATTAGAGATATTACCGTTACCATACTGAGAATACTGCACGCTCTGATGCAGCTCAACTTTTAATGTACTATTAATTAATCTTTTCATTCCATCACTCTGACTCTTGAATATATCTATAACATCACACATTTCTAGGTTTCAGCTGATAAACATTAAAACTTCTGTAACAGTTAAACACAAGTTAGTGATCTGCTTTGTCCTCCATCGTCCTCCGGCCCTTCCATCACACGTGAATAAGATCTTGTGAATTCTCTCTCTTGGAGCACCGTCTCTCCCCCAACCCAAAGGGGAGTTTTGCCTCAGACTTGAAGATGCCAAGTAACTCCTGGCTGGGTCATCTCAGGGGAGGGGTCTCACTTTGAGAAACTCCATTGAAACAGAATATTTGGCACTGGATAACCTCACCTGACACTGGGATTACACTAGAACAGAAACGGGGGCGTCTGGCAGCCAGGCCTGGATTCATGGGGTCTGGACAGGTACAGCTTATCAACAACAACAGAAATTAGGGACACATGCAGTGTGGACTGGGCGACAGGCAAAGGGCACACTTTGGGGACTTGTTCTTTCGGTTTTCATTATTTCATTCCAATTCTAAATCCCCTTTTCCTACATGCCCGTTTTTGAATGTAAAGTTAGTGTTTCTGTTTTTTCTTCCCGCTGACACCCATCTTCTCTGTCTGTCTCATTCACTAGGGCTCGTTGACAGACTACCTGAAGGCCAACGTGGTGTCCTGGAACGAGCTCTGCCACATCGCTCAGTCAGCAGCCCGCGGCCTCGCCTACCTCCACGAAGACATCCCAGGACACAAGGACGGGCACAAGCCCTCCATCGCTCACAGGTACACTGCCATAAACATAAACATCAACATCTGTGGATAAATCATCACTTATCAACCTCCTGTATTAGTTTGACTGGGCTAAAGGGACATTTCCTGTGTCGTGCGTTCTTTCAGGGACATTAAAAGTAAGAATGTGTTGTTGAAGAATAACCTGACAGCCTGCATAGCTGACTTTGGCCTCGCTCTGAAGTTTGAGGCAGGAAAATCAGCAGGAGACACACACGGACAGGTATAGCTCACACTTAAAACTTCATATAGTTGTCTCTCATCCACCATTTCACTGTGTTTGAAGGCATGTTTACAGGCAGTACCCAGTTACATCTGTTTCCAGCTTATTTGTGCATTGATGTTAAGCAACCAATCTCATTTTATGTTGTCTGAAATTTTGGTTTATCATTATTATAATATTTTGGTCTTCCAAATGTTTTGCACTGCACAGCACAACAATCTTAAATGTCAAGTTGAATAACACAAAAAAATCATCTATACAGTATCAATAATTACAGTCTAGAATCTTTCCCTTATTGTAAAAGGACATACTTCCCATTAATGTATGACATTTTAGATCCTCCTGTCAAAGTACAGTCAGATTCTTTCTGTCAGTATACAGTGACATTCTAGAACATTTCCATCAATGCACAGTTAAATTCTAAAATATTTCCCTTTGTGTAGAATGAAATTCTCTTTGTTAATGTACAGTGAAATTCTATAATCTTTCCAGTATATTTTAGAAGCTTTCCATTAATTCACAATGGCATTCTTTCTATTAATAGTCAGTGACATTCCAGAATCTTCCTGTTAATGTATAATTACGTCTTTTCGTTGATGTTTAATGATGTTCTAGAATTTTCAATTCAGTACCACTTCAATTCCTCCTGAAACTGCAATAGTCAGTAGTTTATTTTAGCTTAGCGTGATTTATAGTTCAAAATAACCTTTATTTATCTCATACTGGACCCTTGTTTAAGGGGGAAAGGGGGGGGGGGGTCAAAAATAACTGAAAACTGAAACTGAGTGTTTAGACCTGAGCCCTGATCTTTTTTTTTTTTCTTTTCTTTTTTTTTTTTAAGTTATTTCTTCATTTCACTGTAAACACCAACATCCATTTTAGAGTGACCCTTATTATTCTTGCTTTGAGACAGTAGTTGTAGACTCCTTTGGGTGGCAGCATAGGCCAGAAATCTTTGAAGCAGCCCTGGAGGGATTTATTTGAATGATGAGGTTTTCAATTTTTGAAAGTTGGACAATCACAGTAAAGCAGTGAAAACACATTTATTTGGCAGTGTTTTTGTTGGGTCTGCTTTAATTGGTGGTCATGTAGCTATTTATCTCAGTGCTGATCTTTGGACTCCTGCTTGGAACCTGTAGGTGGGAACACGACGTTACATGGCTCCCGAAGTCCTGGAGGGCGCAATCAACTTCCAGCGTGATTCCTTTTTGCGCATCGATATGTACGCCTTTGGCCTCGTCCTGTGGGAGCTGGCATCACGGTGCACCGCTGCCGACGGTAAATCCACAAGCACTCCAGTCAAGTTTTATCCACACTGTCTTATTTTTATTCTGTCTGAATTTTAACTTTGGACACGTGCACATGTTTCCAGGACCAGTAGATGAGTACATGCTCCCCTTTGAGGAGGAGGTGGGTCAGCACCCATCTCTGGAGGACATGCAGGAGGTGGTGGTGCATAAGAAACTGCGGCCCTGCCTGCGAGACTGCTGGCAGAAACACACGGTGAGAAATTAGAGGAGTGTTTGTTGAAACTGTCCCATAGCTCTTTGATTTATGCAGCATGATTAAAAATAATTGGTTCCCTCTGTACCACATTTAAAAAGAACAGCTGATGTACACCTAAAATAATCAAACAACATATAACACAGGACAAAATGACAGTGAGTAAGAACAACACAAAGTATTATGAACTTTCATTGGATAGTCTCTTCAGTCGCTTGCCTGAAAGTTTATAAATAGGTCCCGCCCACTTTGTGCCACTGCAGAGCGCTTCCAGTGTGTCCATGCTCAAACTCCAGAAATCACAACCAGCTGAGATATCGTGGTGTTTGGATAATGTTCGTCTGAACTTTGTTCCGCAGGGTCTGGCCATGCTTTGCGAAACAATCGAGGACTGCTGGGACCACGAGGCCGAGGCACGCCTGTCCGCCGGCTGCGTCGAAGAGCGCATCGGACAGATGCAGCGCCAGGCGCCCGTCATCGGCCCCGAGGAGATCGTCACTGTTGTCACCATGGTGACAAACGTGGACCTCCCACCCAAGGAGTCCAGCTTATGATCAGCCAATCAGCCGACGCCAGACGAGCTCTAGCGAAAACACGGATCAACACGAGGGGATAAATGGCCAACCCTGGTTGGTTGGCTTTGTGGGGTTTTTTTTTTCTTCTTCTTCTTCTTTTATTATTTTTTTTTCTCCTTCCTGTTCCTTTAAGTGCGGGCCGCTGCTCGCATTCAGGAAACGCCCCTTGCGCCCGCCTCACCACATCAGTTGACATCCACCTCATTTTGATAGGCGTGCTTGAGGATTTTAACGTTGAACTCTCTGCCATCCTGAGCGGACTCACTCAGGATGTTTTACCAAGCCACAGCACTGACATGCTGGGACAACACTCTACAGACACTTTGATCATGTATTGTTTTTATATACACATATACATGCAAACGCACGCACGCACACAGACACACACACACAGATGTAGGAGGGCGACGTGTTCTGCTCTGAGAAGATTCTTCGGAGAAATTTCACAAAACTCTCGGTGCATTTTAGTGTTAAAAAACAACAAAAGAAGAAAAAAAAAGAAAAGACGAGCGTCCGGCTCTTGATACATTTGCTGTTTTCTCGTGTGTGTGTGTGTTTTGTTTTGTTTTTTCTTTTTCTTTTGTTTTTTTTGGGAGACTATCGTTCTGCCAATAAGCAACGGCTTCTGAATGTTTATAGTGTAATGCTGCTGTACATAGTGTATTATGGACCCAGACAACTTGGTAATCAAGCTTATTTTAAATGGGGGGGAATGGGGAGGGGGGTCCATTTTCAAGCATTACGACGATAAAAACCATAAACCTCCTTCAACCAGGTATACCTCAGTTCAGATGGACAGTTTTAAAAAAAATCAGTCCCCCTCTCCCTGTTCACGGTCATCGCTCGCACTTCCTTTACAACCTTTTGACCCTTCGTCAATCAACAAAGCCTAGACACACACAGACACACACGGCCATACAAACCGTAAAAAAAAACAACACAACTTTTTCCCTTCTTCGTCCCCTTCCTTTCTCTCAGTGTCTACTTCAACTTTCTCCTGTTGTTTTTTTTTTTTGGTTTTTTTTGCTTCTATCAGATGTTCATGAGAGCGGGATAAACTCATGACCCCCCGACCACCACCACCCACACCCTGCCCACACCCGTGATAATGAAGTTGTCGTTTAAAGTTTTCTTTCTTTTTTTTTTGTTTGCCGTGTCAGCCGTCAGCAGAGAGTAAATACCCATTGCTGACTAGCTTGAATTGGAGTCACGAGATCTCTCTCTGGATTAGCGCTGGGTACCAGCTATAATGATACCTTCTCTTTTTCTTTTTCTTTTTGATATTTAATCAGAGATATCAAACTCTCGGGTCATATTCTTGTTCATTCATTGTGAAATAAATTATGTGTTGTTTGATTCTATTTAGAAAAATCAGATTAACAAAAAAACAAAAACAAACAAGAGGTCACCTGGCATGATTATTTTTAGGAGGTATCAAATTTGAAGTACAGTTTCCAGAGGTACCCAGCCCTACTTTGGAACTGTGCCTGTATTTAGCTGAGCCAGCTTGCTTTTGATTTGATTGCACGCATCTTTTTATTTTATTTTATTTTTTTTAAATTAAGAGTTTCTGCTCTCTTTGGATACACCTCAGGAATCTTTGCTACTCAACACCACGCCCTCACATCCTCATCCTCACCTGTCTCGAACTGGAGTACCTCCTCTTTCGCCGAATCTTGCACCTCCTATGTCTCTTTCTTGCCTCGTCTCCACTTGTTAGGGTTTAGCCATGCGGTAATAGTTCAGTGTCTTTAGTCGGTTTGAAGAAAACTGTATTAGGTAAGGTTGGTCGATAACTAAAAGTGGACATAATCTGCTCCCCATTCTTTTTAAGTAGCCAAGCATGAATCACAGTTCAAAATAATCCTTATTCATCTCATCTTCTGAAAGAAACCGTCACATGATAGAGATATTATATTATTATATTAGGACTATCCACTTTTTCTGACATAAAGTTCCACCAGTCATTTAATGCCAGATCCCCACAGCATTCATTAGTCATACTGATCTCATTACAAAAAAAAGAAAGTTGAATTATCAAGGATGCAGACCACTGAATTAATTCCCACAAAAATGAAGAGGGATATTACTAAAGACAGGAAAAAATATCAACCTGCCCAAGCAACACAGTCAACCTGACCTAATGTATCTGTAGAACCAAAAATCTGGTCTATGTTTTAACCACCTTCATTCTGCACTGTTCCAGTTTAGACTTAATTAATTGGTTTTGATGCCTTCTCTTGAGCTTGGCCCACTGGCGTTGGAATTTGAGGGTTATTTCCCTAGGGCCTTGGTAACACAGGCCTAGAAACCAGTTGGTGACCCCATGACAACCAAAACCCTCCTTGTGATTTCTTTGGTTACCTGTAGCTTTCAGAGAAGACGCTGACTTATCTGCAAACACTCATTATTTAACCTCTGAGACGTACTAGAAACCAATAATGTTCCCCTTCAAAGTAAAAGTTCTTAGAAACCCCTAAAACCACTTAGCTTGACAGTTTGAAACCCTTGCCGACCCAACCGGCACGCTCACACAGCTAACCATGGTTAAATGAGTGGAGACGAGGGGATCTCTCCTTTCTGTCTTTCATCCTGGTGCCATTTCTACGTGTCGATATTAGTTAATCTTGTAGATGTCAGGCAAAACGGATGTATCTGTCGTTGTTGCGAAGGCGACAAATGACGTTTTTGAGTCTTTATTTCCTCTGAGGGATATTGAACACTGGTGCCGGCAGACCTGCAGTCTCTCCTCAAGCTTTGGGACGGTTTCACATATCACAGTTTAAAATCAAGCTCTGTGTGCAGTTAGAAAATACTGGGGGGGAGAAAAAAACACGAAGAAACTTCTTTCTATCCAAACCATTCACATTCAAGACAGTGAGGCTTTCTTTACAGCACTGTATTATGACGTTTTGGTGAGCAAGAGCCAGTAAGTATACAAGTAAAACACTAAGACATTAAATTGATTAGTGATCAGTTGAGCAAATCCTTTCATTTTGCACAAAAAAGTCTGTAATGAAGCTAAATGTTTGGAGAATGGAGATGTGTGCCAACATTTGTACCAATCAGGGCCAAATTGTTACGTTATCCCACCTAAATCTAGAAGATTCCAAAAAAAGGATCTTCATAGTTGAACTGTAAAAGTTCTTTAAGCAAATTTGACAGCATAAGTTTGAGGTTATTTCCGCACACCATATTGCAACAACACCGCAAACCTGAAGGAAGTTTAAGCCATCATCTTATTTACATATTGTAGCATGAGTACAACTTTTTGCATCAGTGTTGCTTCCTTATGCTGCTCCACTGCTGTTCAAAAGCACCCGTTGTCTGAGGTCCTCACAAAGCTTGAACAGTCAGGGACGATCAGTACTGCAAACCCCAGCAGCCCTTCAGTAAGTACTACCTCACTTGCAGGGATTTCTTCAGTATAGAAACTATAGCAAATAAACTAAAATCATAACCAGGTTGCTAAAAAAAATAATAATTCTAAATGCTCTTGATTTAAGGGAAAGGTTTCAGTTTAGGGGTAAACTTAATTTGTTCCCTGAAGGTCTGACAGACAGAAACAGAATAAGGCTACAAAGAAGTTTCCTCATTTCCACCACAATGTGTTTTCTTGTCCCACAAAGGGAGATTGAACTGCAGAACGAAAAGGATTCTTGAATGACACCAACATAAGGGAAAAACACCAGTATTATTCTTTTTAGTTCCCATGTTTGTGTCCTCAAATGCAAAACCTACTCACCAGTGTTCCAGCAGCCAAGTGGATATCCAAAAACTGCCTCCAAACTGGTTGGTTACCTGCCAAAGTGGTTGACAAATCTTACCAGCCACGAGCAAAGAAACTCGCTGCTGTTTGGTTGGCAGTCACATCCTAAGCACTGTAGGGGAAAGACTTCCGGCTTGAGTTTAAACTGCACTCAGAGAAACCGACCCAAACCGACAAATACCATTCAGGGATTCAGTACTATGCTTTTCTAAGTTCTAGCGAGTTATATGCAACCAGTGCCGCAAACTACCCTACACTTCTGTAGGATCAGCTGCAGGAGTGAATTTCAATACACACACACACACAAATAACTTGTAGCATTTTTTTTTTTTTTAAATCCGTGACCTTGCATATTGATATGTTGTATTTATTTTTTAATTTACTGGCCTGAGGTTTTGGGGATTGGAGCTCGAGTGCAACTCGGAATAAAGTTCTGGCATGAGCTTTGGTTTTTGTTGGGGTTTCAGGGTTTGGGGTGGGTTTTCAGTTGTAATTCAGGAACTACTTTCATTAATTGATTCAAAAAGAAAAAGATATAAACTTTACTCATGCTTCTTTCTATTCAGTCTATGGACAAAATGACCGAGAATGAATGTTCTTCAGACTCCTGGATTCCAGTATTGTGTGTACTTCGATGGATTGAGCCCGGCCCTGTGTAACTTTAGAGGGCTTTGCGTTTGGCTGGTTTCGTGTGATTGTGCCCTGTCCCGTAGAAACTTGCAAAGCCCAGCGTATTTGGACATCCATTCATACACCTCTCGGTTGTACCGGCTCTGTGGTCCATTAGGACCAAACAGACCATCCAAAGGACGATGGAAAAAAGGTTCTCAAAAACCTCTGGTCCTACCTTTGTTTTAGCACCTAAACTTCCAAAACAAAGCAGATATTTGGTTCTGTTTGTCTTCACCTGATCAAGTACCCAATTAAAGCAATTGACAACAATCTCGTCTACCATCCATTGGTTCCCCTCAGGTCTAGACCATGCCTGTTCTGACTCCACCAAAGGAGCATCTACATGATGCATTGCTGAACTGAACTTTGAGAATCTGTAGCGTTAACTTCTTGCACTGAAAAGTTAGGAAACTTCACCAAAAGAGCTCATTTTAATAGGTGGTGCTTCTAAAATAGTCCAGAATGAACATGGCCCTATGGATCTATAGCTCAAATATTTAAATTTTGTGAGGTAAAGTTTTTCCTCTGGAAATTTTTTGAAAGTATTTGAGACATTTGATGTAGTAGATGTATATTTTTCTTTAAACTAGCAGCTTCTTCTGGAATCTCCTTTATTGGCAAAATTAGCTTCATTGTAGGGGGAAAAGGTAGAATTCTTTTTTTTTAAATTAACTTTTTGTCAAGAAGAAGCTTCAAAGAATTATTATTCATTGTCAGTGGTCTTGTGAGCACCCCCAACTGAACGTCACCCAGTTTCTCAGCAATGGGTAGTGAAATGGATCCTGCTAGAGTGATTTAACTTTGGAAGCACCAGTTAATCAAGTCAGTGAAAATGTAATTGATTGGATGTTGTCTCTGTAATGAAGATGCCAGCAGAGGTACACCCCACCCCCGACAAATGATCATGAGAATCCTCTTGATTGGTAAATGTTCACAAAAGAGGTTGCACAGCTTTCTAGATGGCAACGACAACTGCAGGGCCTGTTATACCCAATGTTCTCGCCCTTGCAAATGTTGGTGAACACTAAAAGTGCTGTCATATCCACTGGCCACACTTTGGTGTTTTTTTTTAGCTAATAGCATCAGGGGTTTTGTCACCTTTTCAGCTAGTGCAGGAGCTACCAGATTAAATTACACTTTCTGAGTTTCCTGTTTTGATCTCTGGCACCGTTGTGGAGATTGTGTCTTTTGTTCAGGAGGATAGTGCAGCGAGTAGCGAGGCAGTGTTGATATCAGTGTTTGCAAGATAGCTGGTCTCCTGAGCTTTTGAGGTGAGCTTTGGAAAATAGTCCAGTCATATTCGACCCCCCTGATTTGTATAATTTATCTTGAACTTCAGCCTTATCCTGATGAGGAGCAGTTGACTTGGCGACCTGAGAGGAGTGAAAAGGATGGATCTTTTGGATATTTAAAGGTGTATGGATGGGTCCTGCGCATGTTGAAGCTTTACATGTTTCTACCTTGACTTCCTCCAGCCCAGCACCTCACATTGCTGTGCATATAAACAGTGAAACATTTGTGTCTTGTTGCCCCCACTATTTTAAGCAGTCTAGGATCTGTACAGACATAAATACCTGTATCAACTATATACTCTGAGCTGAATCTTTATAAGTGCGTGTTGAACTTCAGTGTTTCCTCTACATTCATTTATACTTTTCTTGTGTTTTGACTCTGCACCCAGGCCTGTAAAAGTTTCCCTTCACTAAGCTGGAGGCTCATTGGAGTACTTTGTAAGGCAGAAAGAAAACGAATTGTGATGGTTCAGCCAAAGGTGTTCCTCTGGGAGCCTGCTTGGATCCCCTGATGGTTACATTTTAAAAAGCCCTCCGAGCTCTTTAGGAGCTGTTGCAATATTCCCATACATGCTACTACAGTCATCCACTACAGGTTATTTCATTCTAACTTCCCAGTCCCCTCCTTTTTCCTGCTGGTGGTAAAGAGTTTTAGAGGAAACATTGAACTCCATTGACCCCCACCGCTAAGACTGTCTTGGCAGTAAGAGAAGTCTGGTTACCAGGCCTGAAATTTCTACAAAAAAACTCCACAAAACAAATCAAAAAAATAACAAAACAAAAAAAAAATAAAAACACTACTTTGACCCCACATTTCTCGAGGCTGTCGAGTTGCAGCGCTTATCCAGGGTCTGCCAACACTGTCTCCAATGCCAATGATGCTCACAGGTTGTTTAAGGCTGGGAGAAACTGATCAGTCTGAACATGAAACTTCAGTGTCATGTTTTAAAAAGAAAAAAAAAATCCTCTCTTCAGTGATGAAAATGTCTTTTTTTCTTTGCTCCTGATACATGTGACTGTACATTTTATGTTACTGAGAAACAAATGTGAAAATAAGAAAGAAACTAAGGTCTGCAATTTCAAACTGGAAAGTGAAGTACATCAATCAAACAAAAACAAAAAAAGAAACAGCCCACTGGGTTTTCCTGAGCAGGAATGAGTCTTTACCAGCTTCAAGGATGTCCTCATCCTGACCTCTGACATCTCACAGAAGGGATGAGAGGAAAATCTCTTGAAAAAGTGTTATGGCAGAGGAGGCAGGACTGATCCCTGATTAGCGCTGCGACTCTCGGCTAATGTTAGCCGGCCATGGTTTTTATCAGCTGAAGTGATCCACGTGATGTAAATAAATGTGTTTTTAGATTGTGAATGTGTTTTCTTTCCTTTTTTATCTCCCTCTGAATCACTGCAGTCTGGAGTTTTAACCCATTTTAGAGGCTCCTCCTGTTCCACCACATCTCAAATCTGCTCTATTGGACTGAGATATGGTGACTGTGGAGGCCATTTGAGCACAGTGAAGTCATTATGTTCATAAAACCAGTTTGAGATGATCTGAGCTTTTGTGACATGGTGTGCTATCCTGCTGGAATCAGCCATCAGAAGACGGGTACACTGTGTTCATAAAGGTATGGGCTGTGCCCGTGTCATGGCTCTGAACTATGGAGCATAGTTACCTCCTTTCCTCTCATTCAGAGAAATAGATTGGCTCTTCTTAAGACTGATACTCACAGGTCCCTTCACTCAGTTACAAGCCTTGCTTAAATGCTCAGTGCTCTGTTTAAGAAAAGGCAGTTAAATTGAGGGTGGGGGGCTGGGTTCCCTGTTGGAAACATGAGGCTTATATTTGGAATTGGCATTGCTAGTACAGCATGGCATTGCACACTGAATAAAATCTTTAAAACTGTAGCCACAAATACATAGCATATCATTTAAACAGTTAAAATTAGTAAAAAACAAAAACTTCATGTTTATAAAGCTGGATTTATGCAACAGAAACTTTGCATAAAACAAAAATTTATGCCTAGAAACAAAATATCTACCAAGAGGACATCTTGTAATTAAATGAGTTCTTTTTATTGCCACTAAGGTGAATCTTCATTCAGCTCACGGCCCATCAGGAGTCACACTGCTGCCTCTAAAACGACAGATATGACCCCGACTGAAAGCACATTTTGGGTGCAGGCCAGTCAGGTGATCATTGTGCATAAACTCTGTACAACAATCGTGGGAGCAGTGATTCTTGTGAACTGTGGAGGGACACATGCCTCACTGATGCTTCAGTGTGTTTAAAAACAACAACAACAAACAGACTTTTGGCACAATTACACATATTTTTGTCCAAGAAATCAAAACTACAACTTTCATCCAGGTTATTGTCAACTGCACAAAATCACCACTAGATAGCAGTATTCAGCAGTCTGATGCTCACGACCTGAAAATAATGAAAGTCCAACTATTGATCAAATGACACAAGCACATTAAGCTGAGTTTTTGTATTAAGTAAGTCGGGGGGAGGGGGGTGTCTATCTTCAGCATAAACCTCTTTAACTGCTTAGAGGGTGAAACATTTAATCGCACCAATGCCAAACTATTCATTTCCTTTTATTTTCTGATCGTTTAGAGTAGGCAGCAGTGCAAACCTTATGCTCTTCAGTCCAAGTCAAAACAAGCTTCACAGACTCTGAATTCTAAATGTTCTGAAGCTCTACCCAAATGCCGACATGGCCCACTGCTTGACGTCAGTGGGGCACTGTGGGTACTTCTGCAGGGCCTCCATGATCTGGCTGTGGTCCAGCGTGAGCCTCATGAGCTGGTACTCCCTCTGGACTTTGGCCGTGGAACCATCGACAGGCCGGATCAGCTCCAGCTGCTGCAGGTGCTCGAACGCCTAAAGGCAAGAAGAGATTAAGGGTCAGTCAGCAAACCGATTGTATCGGTGTTCAGGAAATGTCCACTTTCCGCCTGGTGTGGGGTGGGGGTTTGGTAGGAAAGACTGGGGGAAGAGTTTTGAAGCGTTTCTACCAACCTTCATGACAACAGGCTGCTCAAAGTTGTACATGGAGTTGGACTTCCTATGCAGGAACTTCTTAAACTCTGGAAACAATCAGGCACGAGTGAAGAAACAGATGGGACAGCTTCTTCTACTTGTGTAATTTAATTGTGCGATCGTACCATTATGGACCATCTGAAGGTTAAATGGCTCTCCTTCATACACATCATTGAGGTGCTTAATGGCGATGACCAGGCACAGCTCCAAGATGGACAAACCTAAAGAGAAACAGCTCACTTAGACGCTTCGGACCATGGGTAGGAAAAAAACCAAAAAACAAAAAAAACAACAGTCCTTTGTTAAGATTTGTACTCACCATGGAGCATGTTAGCCGTGGCGTCAGCAAAATACATCCGGCTGGCCTCGAGCAGGTCAGCTGGTTTGATGGTAGGTTTGGCAACAGAGACGTGACTCAGGCACAACATCTGTAAAGATATTTAGTACGAAAAGAAACAATGAAAGAAAAGGAAACACCCAAAACTTCCCCAAACCGAACATCAGAAATGTTCTTCTCACCAGCAGCATGTGCAGAGAGCGAAAGTCTTTGCTGGAGTTGAAGTGTCTCTGCAGGACTTCCTCCACAGATTTGTCCTCACACAGAGTCTGAAGAACCAAGAAAACAAAGATCAGTACTTTGTGCTTTGTATGTTCTATGTGGAAAAGGTGTGTCCATCGTCTGCCGTTCAAAAGGAGGCCAGAGATGACATCGCTGTCTGAACCATGTTAGCTGGGCAGTGATGTTACTACGGTCACTCAAACAACTCAAAATTAGACATTTTCTGAACTTTAGTGAGCTAAGTAAGGCTTTTAGGGCACGAAGAAGGTAGAGCACAAAAAACAGCCGTACCATGCAAAAGCCAACAATCGTTTCATTATATTTTGCCACCAAGCCATCAGACTGTCATTTTTTAAAGTGGTCTTGAGCAACAATTCTTCAGGCTTTCTGAAGGTCTTTCCAAGTTTTCCTTTGGACAATGCTTTCTTTTTCACTAAGAGCCATTAGCAACCATGGCATATCTCAGTATGGTATTCAGAGTTTTCTTAAAACATTTCAGGAAACTGGACAAGTGAATAACAAAAGTGGAAAGAGAAGAAGTGCAAGTCCTTTAAAACATACATATATTCACCGAAGTTTAATCACAAACGGTCTCAGTGGCTGTGAAGAAGCCATTCCTAATGAAGGGAAACAGTAAGAAAAGGCTGAGGTGTGAAAATTACACAAGAACTGGACTGAAAATCAGTGACAACGGGTCTTGATAGTTATGAATCCACATTTGGAGTCTTTTGTTTCAAATCATTGTCAGTATGTACGGGGAGACGTACAACAGTGAGTGTCTACAGCCGTCTGTAAAACACAGTGGAGGCTCCATCGTGTTTTGGTGCTGCATTTGCATTTGGCAACAGCTTCAATTTTTAAATCACGACAATGATCACAAACTCACTGCCAATGCAGTAAAGACGTACCTGGATAGAAGGTAAGGATCATGTTGACAGAACAGAACAAAAGGCAGAAACATCCAAAGAAGAGCTTTGAATGTCCTTCAAGAAGCCTGCAGAACTATTCCTGAAGACTACTTAAAGACGTGACTAAAAAACTTTGTGTCTGCCTACTAGCTTCACCTTTACACCAGCGTTCCACTCCTGAGCGAACTTCTTGTCAGGAAAGCTGTCCGGCAGGCTGAGTTGCGTCCAAACCCGTTCCAGGTACTGGGTGAAGTTGAGACTGCTCAGCAGGTGGATCTGACGGTGGGAAAACCGCGACTTTACCCGCTTCTCCAGCAGCTCCAGAACATCCTGAATGGAAAAAGTATCACGACACTTATTAAAAACACCTACCATTATCTAAGTAGGGTTTCTGAGAGGTGTTCTGAGGCCCACCAGTCTGCAGGTGACGCCGACCACGGCGATGGGAGCCTGGGCGGACTGGGAGACGTCAAACAGGTTGTAGAGCAGAGTCTGGTTCTTGTGGTGGGCGAATAAGTCGAACTCATCCAGGACAAACAACACTGGGCAGCTACTGCTGCGATTGCCTTTTAGGGAAAAACAACAACAAAACATCAAACCTGTCCCTCTAGTCTGAAATCAGCTTTAAATATTTGAACTTTCTCACCTTTTTTTAATGCCTCCAGGAGGAAAGCCAGATTTTCAGCAAAGCTTCCCTAAGAAAAAAACGAGGTAGAAAGATCTTTGTAGTTTTCAGAGCTGAAAATGTTAATAACGGTCTCTCTAAATACTCACAAACACTTTGTCTCCAACAACGTTTTCCAGGTGGAGCTGTCTGGTTATTTCTTTCAGCGCTGTTCTGTCATCAGTCTGCAGGAGACCTGCGGCAAACACACAAACCCATCCATCCAATTCACATTTCCAGCAAACGTGTGGGTTCTTAAATTGTGAAGAATTTAAATGAGGTTTGGTACCACTGAGGTGAACCTGAAGAAGGTTCTTCTGCACCTTCTCCTCCTTCTGCAGGTCTCTCAGCACGCACTGCAGCAGCTTCAGGCACAAAACACAAAGCTCACAGGATTCACAACAAGTCCACACTTTAAAAAAAAATAATAATTTTTTTTTAAATTCATTTTTTCCCACGGCTCACCATCGTTTTCCCTGCTCCTCTGGGACCCACGATTAGCACAGAGTTACTCTCCCCGTGGATCGCCGTCCGCCTCAGCAGCTCCAGGAGGTGTCTGCAAACACAATGGCTTTAACTACAATACCCACAATGCTTAGTAAAATATACACCCCCATCTCCTGCTTCTAATGAGTGGAAATCTCTCACTGGGGAAGCTCGTGTTGTGGCCGAGTCGGCCAGGAAACTGGGACAGAGCTGTCACCCAGGTGCGACTGAACTGGGCCACTGAAACTCACACCGAGCTCCAGGTCTGCTCTTAATTATAGATGACAGTTCTACTACAGGCCTCCTAAACCATCCAACACCTGTAGGAACCGAAGCCAAAACAAAAACAAACACCCTTTACAGGTTATTTGCCTTTCCCAAACACTTAGGACAAATTATTCATGGTTTTATTTTCACAAGGCCAGATTACAACCGATTCCTCCTCTCCAGTATAAACAGTAAGGCTGTAATGGCCTCGAACTTTTAACCTTATACTGATCACTAGTAAAGGTACCTTTC